CTTGGGCTTGGCCAAGGCCAAACAGCAGGTCCTTCCCCATTAGCCATCCCTGCTGTCCGTAGCTGGGTCCTTCCCCCACCAACTGTCTCCTCCTCTCCCTAGGGTGCTCTGTTGATGCTGTCTGTGGCACAGCTTTCCCCCTCCTGTAGACATCCTGCTCTGAGGTGACGGCTCTCCAGCGGCAGTTTACTGGCCTGGACAGCACCCAAGCCCCACTCTGCCAGGCCTCTGGGCTGGCGTGACGCTGCGGGGGAGCGGGGGGCCGGCTGCCGAGCCCCTGCTTGGAGTCTACAAGCAGGAAACAGGTCACCTCACAAAATCCCTGAAGCTCTTGCCCAGAAGCCATTGACAGCCTTGTTATCTGGTGCTCTCCGGGCCGTCGGCAGGGCTTATCTCCCCGCCGTGGCCAGGGCCCCGATTCCAATCGTGCGTCAGCCTCCCTTGTCGCCGTTTTCCCTCCGACGTAATCCTAGAAGGACAGCAGGGAGCGCGGCCGGCCTGGCGGCCAAAGCGCAGGCTTGAGAGGAGGGAAATCTGGGTTCAAGGTTCTGCCTCCGCCTGCCTGCGTGACGCTGGGCAAGTTTCTTCATCTCGGCTCCCTCTCTGTACGATTCCTCCTCTGCCCTGTGCGTGGGAGGCAGCAGAGCTGTGAATAGAAGAACCCAGGAGTCCGGGGTCCCTGGACCCCGCTATTTCAGTTGTGGGCAAGGTGCGGTGAATGGGTCATTTTCCGCTGGAGGCGTTTCAGAATGCGCCAGCCTCAGCTTGCTAGGGCTTCCCTGCAGGGGCTGAGCTGGGGGGCACGTGTTGCAAATTGATTCGCATTCACCTCTTGGCCCTTCATAAACTATCCCACCCCCTTCCCCTATGGTTGCTGGGAAAGGAGGGTCTTCAGGCCAGCCTCAAAATGAGTAAGTTTTGCTCTCTGACGTATCATTTATAATCGGTGTATTAAAGTATGCAGTGGCGGGTTTATTTCCCACTAGCTTCGGCCGGCACAGAGTTGTTGGCATCTCTTTATTATGGCCAATTGGTCTGTGATTTGTGTGTAATAGGGTCTTTGCGCCTCGCTGGGATGTTACCGTCCTTTGCCTAAGCGAAATCCGCTTCTTAGTACAATGCAGGGAATCTTCTTCAAGAGGCACCTGCTTGTCTCAGGAGAATGTCCCGAAGCATCCCCCAAATGTATTGGCCAAGATTCTCACAAGCAGGTAGGGTGGGCTTGAGAGTCAGAGACTTGTGCGCCTAAGTCACATCTTCAAAGGAAATCGATGGGAATGAGGCGTCTAAATACCGGTGAGGACCAGGGCCCTGGTTGTTTTTTTGTAAATCCCATCCTTAAATCCTTATTGAAGCTGCTAACTAAGTCTCCTGGTTTTTCAAGTATGGAGCCAGCCAGCAGCTCCTATCTGAGGTCAAATGGGGGCTCTTGGGTCCTCAGCACTTCTTAAAATCGGGATCCTTATTTCGAGACTTAACTGGAGATCTGAGAGCCCAATTTTAGCCACCTCTTTTTGAAAAGTCTGCTCCACTTTAATTAGAAGGCTCAGCCCTGTTAAGCTCTGTCTCGTGACCCCGGGAATGGCTGCTGAAGGGCAATTTCACTGTAAAATATTGATACGCGCCAGGGATATTGTTTGGGGGTAACCTTGTTTATTTATTTACAAAAAAAATGTCCTCAGAGTCCTGGCTGCCTGAATACGGGAGCAACAAACAGCAGGCAATTTCCTTGTTCAGAAATTCCCATGTCTGCCACTCCAGCGAGCACTGTGCCCGAGCATCTCTCTCTCTCACTGCTTCCTCCCAGGATCATGCTCACAACTGCTTCTCCTGCCTCTCTGCCTCCAACACACAGGGCCTTCAAAACTGATAACTTAGCCCTTGCATTTGCAGCTAGGGAATGCTCCCCTTTGCTCCCAAGCCCGCTCCGCTCAGCTCAGCTCTGACCTGCCTTGGGCAATCCCTCCATTGTTTGTAGCTGTCTCGACTACATAAAGGGGCTTAATTGCTCCTTCCATTGATTCTGAAAGGGAGTGCTTGGAACAGCCATTGACTAGGTCTGTGATTGTCTTTGCCAAAGAGTCAGCTGATGGCACCTTTGAGAATAACTATATATAAATACGGAGATCTCTCATCTGAATATCAACCTGTCCGAACCGTACTTGGCTTGGGAGAGTCGCTGGATAGTTTGGGCATGACCAGAGCTAGATATGGGATTCTTATATATACAATATTAATAATCTATTTCCATGTTACCACAGGTCACCCCCAGCTATGGCTTGGCTTTCCCAAGCTAAGCATGGTTGGGCTACACTGATCTTTGGATGGTAGATCTCCAGGCAGGACCCTGGTGGCACAGGCAGTGACCCTGGTGAGTCAGTAGGGGGCGCTCTTCCTTTTGGTATGGAGTCAGTGGCTCAGCAGGGTGCTCGGGTGTTGTGCAGCTGGAGGTGCCACCTGTCTGATGCAGTGGGAGACCAAGGTCCTGAGCTGTTGTGGATGCTCAAAGACCTGGTGATACGTTCGTGTTTATGAAGCTGACTTTTGGGGCCGGGATGCCAGGGCCTTTTGCATTCTGCTGTCCTACATCTCCACTTGCAGTGGTGGTCACATAGCATTCTTCAATTGCTGTCTCAAACGCGTGCTGTGCGGCTGTTAAACGGCCCCTGCGTCCCACCCCAGGGGCGGCTGCATTTCCACAGCAGATGGTTTAGAGGCCAAGGCCATTTCATAGCGAAGCAATGGGGCTGAGTTGGCATTGGCCGAGCTCCTCCAGTAACTTGAGACAACTAAGAGGGGCCTTGTTTTCAGAGGACGGGGCTCAGCACTGTCTGGAAATCAGTGTCTTCCATGGTGTCATAAACTGGACCTCCAAAATTACTAATGACTTGGAATCCTGGCTTGGAGAACATGGGGATCTTTTTAAAGTTATTTATCTGTAATACAGTAACACCTAGGAGTCCCAGCCATGGGCCAGGACCCCATGGTGCTAGGCGCTGTACATGTTCATTGCTATTAGGTGTATTATGGTAGCACCTAAAGCCCCAGTCCTGGATCAGGTCCCTGTTATGTTCAGGCATACGCACAGGGAAGTTAGATAAAAACCATGTCTACTCTTGCTGGAAGGTTGCCCTGGAACATGACTTTATTACTTAAACTCCAGAATGGTAACACCCAAGGACCCAAAACCAGTGAGAGACAAAGCAGGCTGCTCCCTAAAGTGGAGCGGCACAACTCACCTCACCTTATTCTAAGCTGGCTCCCTGCAGAGCTGACTGTGATTGGACACTCCTGGCTGAGCACTCTAGCTTGCAAGCAGGACTGAGAAACTGCAAATTCAAGTGATAGCCTGTGATTTTAACAGTTTCAATCTACCACAGAGCCCATGGTGTTAGGCTCTGTAAGGTGGGAAACTGAGGCATGAGTCCAACTAATTTAGGCTTAATCAATTTTTGCCTTTATTTATACATTTTCAGACAATTGTCACTTATGTTTATGCCAGACAGTAAAGAGATAAAATGGAATAGGTGGGGAACCCAAGTTCTGGGAAGCTCTCCTACCCGTCCTGATGGTTGTCTCACACTCTGGCCTCCGGGCTCCTCCTTCAGTCTCATTCCTTCAGTTTCCGGTCTGGTATTTCTCCGATTTGCGCCCTCGTTCACTTGGTTCTTCCACATTTCCACGTTAGAGTCGTTCGCTTTCCTGCAGCCAACGTTATTTAACATCACACATACCCAGTTCTCCATCGAGCCACGTTTTCATGATTTGTTTTTCCATCCTCCCGTCTATGCTGTTTGTACCATGCCCGGGGGGTCGTTTGAAAGGGTTTTACCTTGCCCTCCTTAGCCCCCTCTTGCAGACCCCGGAAGTACTCCACATCGCCTAGGCTTGACTCAGGCTGGCTTAATGGCCAATAAAGTTCACGCAAACCTCAGAGTCCTTAACCGCAAAATAATCCAAAACAGTCTTCAAGGAAGCCCCCAGTCATGAGCGCCACCTGCTTCCGCCGGCTCTCTCTGGCGGGAGCTCAGCCCTTTGGCCCTGCTTCCAAGTTTGTGTGCGTGCGTTCCTTCCTTTCCTTTCTCTCTCTCCACCAGATACACCTCTGCACCTTCGTCCTGCCCTTTATAGTAGACCACCTGGTTCCCCTCAGGTGGGCGCCATCCTGTAATCAGGATTGGTTTAGCCCCAAGCTCTCCAGCCTATGGGCAAGGCACCCTGTTAGTTATCAAACTAACGCACCGTCCTCCTTCTTTGCCATTCAGCAATTGGCCTCGTGTTTTGGTATCATCGTCCGCGCCGCATGGGTCATCCTCAGTTATTCGTTGATTTTAGCTACTGCTTCTCACTGAGGTGCCAACGGGAGAGCTCTCGCCCGTCGGCTTAGAGCGTCTTCCTCAAAGGGCTACCCTGCCCTGTCAGCATATTTTAAGCTTTTCCAAATGTGGGTTTTCAGGGGACCTTTGCCAACGTCTCGCATCCTGCTTGGCAAACCATTGAAAAGCCTTGTCTGTAATTTTGCCTGTTGCGTTTTTGAGGTACTTCATTTGGGGTTAGGGCCTAGATATTGAATTGTTCCCCAGCCACGCGGTACAGACAGCAGCCTCCTCCACTGGGAAGTGGCTTTTGAGAGAGGGAGCATGGATGCCCTTTCCTACCTGATAACGCCCCCCCTCTGTGTTTGTTCCCCCTCCCAGGACCGTCTCCATCTGCTGCCGCTCAAGGGAGACTCGCCCAATCGACCCGCCTGGCCACTCCGGCGTCTCAAGCCTGGATTAAGCGAATGGGTCGCGGTTCAGTGCCCTCGATCGGCCGCCGTTGGAAAGCTTGTGTGCGTGCCGAAGATTCCCACCGCTGCCCCCTGGCCTGAGGAGACGGGGAGGGGCCCTGTGTGCTCATCCAGGAAGACCCGCCCTCCCCCCCCCATCAAAGGCGGTTCCCATCCTCTTCTTCCTCACGCCAGTGAGATCTGAAGGCGGGGCATCCGCAAGGGCAGAGCCATGGATGAGGGGTTCAGGGACCGCACGGCCTTCATCCGGGGGGCGAAGGACATTGCCAAGGAGGTGAAGAAGCATGCCACTAAGAAGGTGGGCAAGGGCGTGGACCGCGTGCAGGACGAATACACCAAGCGCTCCTACTCCCGTTTCGAGGAGGACGACGATGAGGAGGATTACCAGCCCCAGGACGGCTACTACCGCGGCGAGTCGGCCAACGATGAGGAAGGGGCCTCCAGCGACGCCACCGAAGGGCACGACGAGGACGACGAGATCTACGAGGGCGAGTACCAGGGCATCCCCCGCAATGACTCCCTGAAGGCCGGGGACCAGCTGGCCGACAACCAGCAGGTGGTGAGCGAGTTCAGAGACTTCGAGGACCTGGAAGGGGACAAGAAGAAGGACAAGGAGGAGCTGGCCCAGCAGTACGAGCTCATCCTGCAGGAGTGCGGCCACGGGCGCTTCCAGTGGACGCTCTACTTTGTGCTGGGGCTGGCCCTCATGGCCGATGGCGTGGAGGTCTTCGTGGTGGGCTTTGTCCTCCCCAGCGCCGAGAAGGACATGTGCTTGTCAGACTCCAACAAAGGCATGCTGGGTAAGTCCTTGGGATGCCAGGAGGGAAGGGGGGGGGACGACGCTGACCCTCGAAGGGGAAAGAGGCATTCTGGGGGATGGTGTTCCCGGAGGGAGCCTAGCAACCATAGGCCCGAAGCAGTGCATGCTGGGAAGGGGGGCAGGGAGATATAGGCACTCCCTTTGGCTCGGTGTGGAGTGGGGTCCTCGTGAGCTGAAAGTTCGTTTGGCAACCCCACCCCTCTTGGTGTCCTGCTCCCAAATGCACGTGGGAGTGCTCTGCTGTGGGTGACAGTCATTTTGAGTGCCTAGCACTCTCACGGTTAGCGCATTGCCTGGTTCGAGCCATTTTTTGAGGGGGGGAGCCCCCCTTGCTACAAAGCCTTTCAGTTGGGTCCGCCCACCCCCACCCCACCTGCAGGGCTCAGGATTTAGTGTGCAGAGAGCCCCCTCCCTGCCCCCAAGCTCCTATGCGATTAGAGTAATTGGTGTGTGCGGTGGGATAGCGGATGGGGCTTTCCAGAAGCCCTGAGTTGCACTCCTGCCAAGGCCACAGTAAAAGGGGGAGGACGCTGGCCCTGAGTGGGAGTTCAGATTATTCTCCCTTCTGGTCTCCCAGCTGGTGTGACGCAGCTCCGTACCATGCTGGTGGGAGCAAAAGTAGTAAAAGTGGCTCCCAGCCCCAGGCAGACCCCTGTTGGTTTAGGAGCACAGGTTGAACCCACCCTGGGTTGTACCGTTGCAGGGGGCACACAGGGCGTGGCCAGAATGGGATCCGGGCCCCAATCAGCCAGGCATGTCTGCGATTTTGTTTTTCTTTTGGCCCATGGCGGCAGGCCACCTTCGAAAGCTGGGAGAGGCTCAGTCAGTTTTCGCTGCCTCTTCCGTAGCACATGGCAACTGGGGTTTCTGCCCTGGCTGTGCTGTGTGAACAGAGGGTAGTCTTGCTCCACAGGGAGTCGGGCAATTTGCTTTCCCAGTGGGTGCACTCTGCCCTCCTCCCGCCCCTCCAATGGGGGCTTTTGGTTTTGGCTCATGTTATTTCTGCAGCAGCTCCTGTGTGTGTGCCTGAGGCATGCCATTGCTTTCTGGTGGATGGAATCGGATCTCCCAAGCTCTGTGTCATAGCCCCTGTACTGCTAACAGCTGATGGGGATTCTAAAGCAGCAGGGACCTGGCTTTTCGGGGTGGGAGGTTGAGTTCTATCTGCCCTGCGCCGTATTGAAATCCATCAAGTCCTTGGTAGTCCTGGATTTGGTTTGTCACGGCTCTTCACCTCTTTGTAGGAGAATCTCAAAGTGTCTTACAGGTCAGGCCCCATGATCCATCCCCTAAGGCTGGTCAATATCCTCCCCCTGGGAAGCAGTGAAGTGAAATGACTTGGGTCTCGCACACAGTTAGTCAGAAAGCTGGGAATAGGACCTAGGGGTCCTGACTCCCACAGGCTGCTGCTCTAACCACTAGACCTCGCCCTCCTCCCAAAACTGGGATTGGAACCCAGGAGTCCGGACTCTCAGCCCCTCCCCCGGCTTTGAGACGTGCACGCTCTGTCCTGAGTCCGTTGCGTGTCCCTGACTGTCCGGTCCCAGTGGCTAAAGGCCAGCAGCTCTCGGGGGTCTCCTCCCAACCCCTGCACGGCCATGAAGACGGGCTCTCGGGAACTAGCCAGCTGGCGCCCGGCTCTCTCCCGAGTGGGTCCCTGCGGCTTTGATTCCTGCTGAGTCAGTGCCGGCGCCCGCGTGACGGGAGCCCAGTGGGAAAGGCCGCTGCACCTGGGAGACGCAGGCCCAAGGAAGCTGGGGGGTGGGTGGGGGGGCTGGGACCAATATTGGTAGCTTGTGGATTTGATCCAGCTTGGGACGAACCGGAACCCATCCCCCTGCTTAATTTGGGAGAGCCTACTCCATGGCCCACAGGCCTTCCTCACCATGAACGTCCCAGACAGAGCCAACAGTGGGCCTGGGGAGCCCTGAGGGGTGGGGGGTACCTGTGCCCTGTGCCGCATCTCTGGCTAACTAGAGCATTGGAGTCTGGAGGGGCTTTCGGTCCAGAGCTGAATCCACTGCAAGATCCTTGGCTAGCAGGCCCCGGCTCCAAGACCAGAGTGCACGGGCCAGGGAGGATGCGCTGGCCTCCCCTTGGAGGCAGTGCCCCCTAGCGGGTAGAGACAGCGTGCCCCAGCTGTGTGGGGGAAGGGGGTGCAGCTCCTGAGCCCCCCCCCTGAGAGGCTGTTTCAGGGGACGCCCCTCCCTCTGAGCTGGGTAGGGCAGCATCCTCGCCTGGACCAGGCCTTCGCGTTTGGGTTGTACGGCGGTGGCTAGCGGCTCTTTTGGGCCGTTGCTTTTCTCTTCAGCCCAGACTGAGAGCCCAGATCTCCCTCCGTGTCCATCCCTTTGGAGGGGGTGAGCGGGCTCCGTCCCCGGTTAGCACAGCCACCCTTGCTGCAGTCAGAGCTGCACCCGGGTTGCCACCTCCTCTGGGGGATGGGGGCGTTGCCTTCCCAGCGCAGGCAGGCAGGGATCCGCGGCGGGCAGCGCTGCTGTAACCTAGGAGCGGAAGCCCCGGGACCCCTAGGGAAGGGTTCTGCGTAGGTCCCTGGGGGACCAAGGCTGTGCCGTGCCAGTGGCTGATGCTGTCCCTCCAGAATCTCAAATGCTGAGTCAATGAACTGAGCCTCCCCAGGAGATGGGCCTGCATCGTTATCCCTGCTTTACACATGGGGAAACCGAGGCAGATACTGGGGCGGTGACTTGCCCTAGGTCACCCAGCAAATTGGTGAAGGAGCTGGGAGTAGAAGCCAGGAATCCTGACACCCAGTCCTCTGCGGTAACCACTTGCCCCTACTCCCCTTCGAGAGCTTGGAACAGAACCCCAGAACGGCCCTGGCTGTAAGGAAGGCTCCAGGCTGGCTTGGGAGGCGGGGGGCAGCCTGGGGTGGGGGACGCTGTTCCATACAGGCCTGGTCAGTAGCCGCCTCTCCCTAGTGAGTGGCAGAGCACTGGCCGAGGGAGGAAGCACTGTTGGGTGGGTGTGATGGCCGGGGTGTAGTGAGACAGCAGAGCTTTAAATAAAGTGCTGCTTCCCCTCCGGAGTGTTACAGCCAGCGAAGCAGCGCGTGGGCTGGAGCCCGGGGTGCGCTGGGCGAGGGAGTTCTCTTTCCTTCAAGTCTAGGTTCAATAACTGGGGAAGGATTCATCCCTCTCGCTTCCTTTGAGAGCGGGCTGCGAGAGGGAGCGTGGTCTAGTGGGGAGAGCAGGAAGGGACCTGGAACCCCAGGACTCTGGGTTCTAGTCTCCGCTCTGGGCGGGCAGTGGTGTCTAGTGGTTAGAGTCAGGGGGGCCTAGTGGTAGAGTGAGGGGCCTGGGTGCCCCATAGTCCCTCCCAACCTGCAGCCCCCTGCTATCCCAGCCCTGGGCTCCCCCACTATACCTCTGCTGATGCCCCTCAGTCCCAGCTTACGGTGCCCTGCTATTCCAGCCCCGGGCTTCCCCCAGCTCTGCCCGTGCCTTTCCATCCCAACCCACGTAGGAGAAATCCCAGGTGGACTGTGAGGTGCGCCCATACCGATATCCTGATGCCCCAGCCTTGTCCTGCGAGGGATGAGAGTGGACTTCAGTCTTTATGGCCCTTTTTTCGTTTTTCTTTTCTGGTGCCCGTAGCTGGGATTTGTAGCCAGGTCTCTGGAGGCTGCGGCCCTCACCCATGGCACCTGTCGGCTCCTGCCCCCTCTTTCATTTTTAAGTTCTGTTTGACTCCAGTAGTTGAGCCAGGCCAATGACCAGGCGAGTAGTTGGTGAGATGAGGCGCTGCTCTGTGGAGCGTCAGGAGGACTCTTGCAAGTCAAACTGCGGTTAGAGCCTGGGTCTGGACGGTAGGATTGCAGGCTCGTATTCTGCAAGGGGAATGGGATCTAGGGGGGAGAGCAGGGTTATTTGGGGAGTCAGGACTCCTGGGTTCTGTTCCTGGTTGCGCTCCTATTTCTCCTAAAAGATCTGCTCTCGGAATGATTTTGGAGCAGCTCCCTGGCCTGTGATACAGGAGATCAGACTAGGGGGGGAAACTGAGGCGCAGAGAGGCCAAGCTCTGTAGGATTTGCTCAGCGGTTGGGACGTAGACCAGACCTCTCGTGTCCCCCAACAGGCCTGTAGCCCAGGTGGGATTCGCACCCGGATTGCTTGAATTGCAGGCGAATGATTTCTCCGTCAGGCCACACTGCTTTCCTCGCCTGACTCTGTCTCCCGGATGGATAATTGTGAGGCTAATGACAGCGAAGGGCTCAGGCAAGCGCCTCGCTTGGTAGAACCCAGCTGGAAATGGGGGGCGGGGAGCTGGATTTGTAGCCAGGGGTGGCTCGTGCTCTGAAATCCCTTTGGATGCTGCAGCGGGCGAGAGCTCCCGGCCGGCAGTGACAGTCGGTGACTCACCCCCTGCGTCGTCCTCCTCCTCCCTCCGCTGTCCTCGAACACCGGCATAATTTAGCCAATGTGAACGGCCCCCCAGCTTATCTCCCTGCACCACTGACAGCCCCTCCAGACCTCGGCACTGCCGCAAAGGGCTTAGTGGGAATTAATTCCAAATGAAAGCAAGCAGGAGGAAATTTTGCCTGAGCGGCTACAGAGAAGAGGAGTGAAGGGGTGGGGCTGCTATAATTGGGGAGTGGGGGGCAGGAGTCTGGGAACCTGGGGAAGACCCAGAGCAGCCTGGATTTCAAGCGAGTTTTGTGCTAGAGGAAGGCACCGGATTGACGCCCCCGACATGCGGCGATTTGAGCAGGTGCAGGCCGCACTGCGGCAAAGCTTTGCTCCCCCGCCCACCTCGAGCACTGCCCGTCACAGCCCTGAGCGGGAGCTACCCCCCCTTGAAAGAGCCGTGGAGATGGGGAAGGGAGCCCCCCCTCCCACTTGTGGGGCGCTCAATCTCCACGGCCCTTTCAATCCTTGGCCTGTCTGCGGAGTCCGTCCGCCCAGGGGCTGTGAGCGGAGCACCTCCCTGTCCTGCTAGGAACTAGACTGAGCCCCAGCA